GAAGCTGTTCTGACCCATGGCTCCAAAGCCATATGCTAAAGCTATTCCCAGTCCCCAAATCACGCTAAGGATTAAGACAAGCAAGGTGGATGGCAGAGTCACCAACTTCACCAACAAGACAGAAGGAGGAAAAGCCCACCAGTTCTGTATCGGAGTATACAAGCAATGCACTAGAGATTTAGCAAGTGTCTGCAGGAAACTCCATAGGTCAGTGATGGAGTCCGGTGCTCCATGGAGATAGAGGTCAGACCCTGGTCTGTGAGGATCCCACAGGATCATCACTAGCTACCCCATAAGACAGACTGCTCCCACAGTAAGAACACGGTATCTCTTCGGGCAGAGACTCTCAGCTCTTCCTATCAGATCACACTACATGCATGTGCCTAGAATGTGCGCCATTCCAGGGAACTAACTACACTTCCTTTTCCATCCCAGAAATCATCCTGGAATCCAAGTGACACTGATGTTACTTTAGGGACCTTGAAATCACTCTGGTTTACCCAAAGAAAACCCTTGACAACACTGGCATTTCAACAATGTGTACTAATCATTTACTTGCTACACACCTCCCAACTGATTTCCTTGTCTCGGTGTGCCAACACCGTAGGTACAGTAAGCTCTGGGGCACTATGGGTCACACAGGTTTAAATCAGTGATTCTCACACTTGGCTACATATGAAAATCTCTTGGGGCCCTTAAAGAATGTGAATACTTGTCCTCTACCCCAGGCCAATTAAATCAGAACATCTAGGGAAGGGACCTGAACACTAGCTGTTAGTGGTGATTTTGTTTTTTGTTTTTTTTTTTTTTTAACTTTTCACTTAAGAATCATTGGTTTAAAATATTTTTAAAGGGAAGGGCAGAGGTTAGCAAGTGATAGGTAACTGTCCACATGACCCCCCCTCCTAACCTTTGCCCTCTGTCTGTATTCTGCAGAGCTTCCTGGCCTTGCCTCCCAGCCTCTAGTGACTGATGTGACAAAACCATGACTACCACAATCAGAAGAAAGGAGCCCAGTGCTTGTGAACATTGTGTAGCAAAGAAAGATCCACAGCAACCTATGGGTGGAGATCAGTAAGATCCCCATCTGGGGGCCTGGCACAATGACTCAATGGCTAAGTCCTCACCTTGCACATGCCGGGATCCCATATGGGCACCAGTTCATGTTCCAGCTGCTCCACCTCCCTTTCAGCTCCCTGCTTGTAGCCTGGAAAAACTGTAAAGGATACTCCCATATGGGAGATCCGGAAGAAGCTCCAGGCTCCTGGCTTCGGATCAGTTCAGCTCCAGCCGCTGCAGCCACTTAGGGAGTGAACCAGCAGACTGAAGATCTTTGTCTCTGTCTCCCCTTTTCTCTGTAAATTATTTTTTCAATAAAAATAAAAATATATATTTTTAAAACTACGATTAAAAAAAAGAAGCCCATCTGGGATAAGGTTCTAGGGGCAGAAGCCCAGAAGGGACCCAAGGAGTTCCTACTGAGTGGACCCAATCTAACTCTGTTAACAGCCTCCCTTCCCTCAACTCTTTTGACCTCTTACAGTTTCTCACTGTAGGGTCTCTTATCCTATGGATGCCACCCCTGACCTCATGACCCTGTAGCTTCCCATTCTGGGAAACAAGGGAACTATGGATAATATGGAGGACACAGAATATGCATTTCAAGTGATAGCTGTGAATAAACAGGATCCAGACAACCCCGTATACTATCCAACTCTTGTTAATGTGTATGGGACTACTCATTTCAACAGAATCAGCCTATTCGGAGCAGAGAATGTCTGTCCTGACTAGGAAGACCTGATCAGAGTATTCACATCATCTCCTCTCCCTGAAAGCTGCCTCACAGAAGGAAGGACTCACAGACAAAAGCAAGCCAGCAAACACAGACTAGGAGTCAGGCACAGCCAATGGACTCAAGTTCTGGTTAAGTAAGGTCATTAGGGGTATGCAGAGGTCTAAGTGGAGGTGTTGGGTAGGTGGTTGGGAGGATGCTGAGTTTAAAACGAGAGGCAGGGATACTACCCAGAAGTGGATGTGGTGGTGTTGACTGGTTTAAAGGCAAGGATCTTGAATACATAAGGTATGGATGTGCAAGGTATGTTGGAGAGTATTGACTTTCAGGGTAAAAGTGTGAGTCAGTAGAACTGAATTTGGAGGTTAGTGAATACTCAAGGTTGTTAATTGACAGTGATAACTGCATAAATCAGAGAAAAGGGGAATGTTAGGGTTTAGGAGTATTATGTGTAGGATGTGGGTTTTGTGTTGAGTGGGGATGTATTTGCAGATTGATTGGCTGTCTATCCTACCCCAGAACTTCTAGCCCTGGTGCAGGCAGGGTCTTTGCAAGTCTGATCCCACAGCTGCAGTCTCTCTCTGGCCTGGTGGGGATCCCATTGAAGGAGACCCACCCTCTGCTAGATCCCTGAATTGCAGGCATAAGATGGCAAAGAGTGATCTCAGGACTCCAGCTCAGTCACCTGCTGAACAGTAGGAGGCCTCTCCAAAAGAAATACTTCTTACAAATTCAGGCTGTATGTGAGGTGAGGGCTAGCTAGTGAACCCATCAAGTGTGACAAGGGGGTCCAGGCTATGTTCCCACCAGGTGAGGATACAAAGAGGGCTAGGGGTTCAGGCCCAACCTAACAGCTCCAATCTTTCCTATCTGGGACCTCACTGCACTGGGGGAAGGTAACTGGGTGATGCTATGACCAAAGAAGTCATACACACTTGTGCCTGGGCAATGCTAGAGGTGACCACAGAAGCTCTTCTACTAGAAACAAAAAACCTGTACCACATAGCATCCTCCGTGTGTCCAGAGAAGTGCCCAAGGCTGCACTGTGACTTGTTTCATTCTTGGAAACCCATGTTGCACAGCAGCCCTCCACAAACGCAACGTCAGCATCACAGCAACTCCAAATTCTGGTGCAATTTCCCAGCTAATGTGTGTACCTTGGAGAGTAGCAAGTATAGCATTCTGGTGAATAAGCAAGCAAAGGACCACAGCACCTGCATACTCACCATCCATGGCAAAGCCACCCTTGACTCCGGGCTGTCCAAGGTAAGACTGAGCCTGAGGCCTAGCAGTGCAGGCCACTGTAGTAAGGTGGTAGCTCCACCAGGTCCAGGCCAAGAACCACATCCTGACCCAGGGCAGGTCATGGTGTAAGAGGCTGAAGGTAGAGCTGCACAGCCATGACCTCTTGGGCCATTAAGCAACACTCTTTGATAAGCTGATTACCATTTTTTATTTCAAGTGACCACCACCAAGTAGTACAGACCTTAGCTGGCCACCTGCTGTCCTGTCAACTTGATGTCATTCATTATGTGCTGACCCCTACAGACATGGGGGCTTGTGATGCCCAGTGAAGTTGTGGTTTGCAATCCTTGGTGGGCCTACCTCGACCCTCCTTTAACTAAGTTACTTGTCATCAGTCCTTAACCAGACTTGCCAGTCCCAGACTCTGCCAGGTTTCCAGAGGGAATCTAAATGTTTAGGAAGTTCTGCAAGTGTTCCTGATGTGTAATCAAGATTGAACTACCAGTCTAGAATAAAGCCAGATGGGAGGCACAAATGGGGGAGGACAGAGGGAACCCTCCTTCTTGCACCTGCAGGCCACATTTCTTCTCATGTGTGTACACATCAGAGGAAATATTTTCTTCTCTCTTACACAGTTCAGTGCCTTCAGAGCTACAGAGCTAGCAGCACAAATTCTTTAAATGCCAAGCTAGCCAGCCTTGCTCCCTTTTGCTTAAATTCCCCCACCTCACTTTCCACTAATCTTTAAAAGCCCAACCAACACGTTCTTCCTTCCCCTACCTCTTCTGTCTCATCCTCTGTCCCTCTCTGGTCTCCGTGGTTACAGACGTGTTCCCCGCCCCCGTCCCATCAAGTTACAGAGGCCTTTCCTTCTGGGGGAAGGACCAGGTCCTGTTGCTGACTCTCAAGTGCTCAGCTAGGTGTCTGGCATCGAGATGACAATGCCTCCGGAAGAACTGCTGAACTGTGTGCAACAGATCTAGGCCAGGGACAGCACTGTGGGCACTTCTTGGCTTTCATTTCCCAAAGAGGGATCCCCAGAAGACAGGTCTAACTGGAAGCACATGGGCCCAGAGCACTGGCTCCAAAACTGACAAGCAATGAGGTCTTCACAGATCACCAATCTGATCCTATTTTCATAAGGCCCTGAAGCTTCATTAACACTAACATGACTTTGCTTTGCTCTTTCAGGTAAAGATGACAAGACAATTCTGGCATCCATTACCAAGAGCTGCAGTTCAAAGTCAGGTGTCTTTGAGATTCCCTTTGCCCCATGAAGGATTTTTGTAATAACTGGCTTGAAAAATCACCTATTCATCCAACACCTGTATGAGAGCCAAGTCTCCTGTGATCACATCTCCACAGATCTGAGACACCTCCACTAATGGCATATTTACCACCACACAAGACTGCTTCTGAGCTGGGGTTTTAACCTTTGAAAACACAAATACCTCTTGAATGGGGATGCCTCATTCTTCTGCCAGGGCTTCATAGCTGAAGTATACACTGGCTCATCAAATCCCAGTCCTCCCAGCTGTTCAAATAAGGCCAGAGTCCAGGGAGATACGTGGAGGAACCCTGCGCCATTGTAGAGCAGGTGGCAGGTCTAGAGAGGGAAAGGGAGACAAATGGGCATCTGCAGAAGATACTGAGTAACTTAAAGTTCCCAAGAATGCTGGGCATCGATGCCCAGGGGAGTGTTTCAGTGACAAACGTGGACTGTGACCAATACTACCCATCTCCCACCCTCCTCAACCACATCCTCACCCACAGATGTGACCAGGGAGGCAAGACTCACTCCAGCCAGCATAGTCCCACCATAGCCAGGGAGCCAGCCTGGTACCAAGACACACTGGCCAGGACTGTGAGGCAGGCTATGAGGACACACTGGGCCACTGCCACTCCCCCACCTCCAGAACAGGCACAGGCCATGCAGGCAGACAAACAAGACAGCCAAGAGCCCTCAATTTTTATTTTTATTCACATGAGAAGGAGAGGATGAGTGGCCCCATCCTTGCTCCCCTTTGCATTGAATGTGCCTCTGGTCTCAAGACCCAAAGTGTCCATGGAACTCCCTCCTCCTGCTCCCAGTGCAGGAGGGACAGAGAGGGAAGCACTGGGAGTGCATGCAAGGGGAAAGGGATACCAGCTCTCGGAGCCAGGTCCAGCACCCCCTCAGCAGCTTCCTGTGAGACTGCGACAGACAGCAGGACAGAGACATGGCAGAGAAAGACACAGGAAGACCAGGACACACACACACACACACGTGCACACACACACGTGCATGCACACATGCACACATGCTGGCCCCTTCCTTTGGCATGGTTCACCCTAGCCCAAGGGTTAAAGTCTGAAGGTGTTGGTATGGGGCCTGCGCGCTGGCCTGGCCTGTCAGAAGATGGGATCAACTTGAATCCTTGGTATCCTAAGATCCCAGACCAAAGAAATTCCCTCTTCTGCCTACCCTGGACGGACAACCCTTCCCCTCCAACCACTTAGACAGAGATTGTTCAAGTAACTGGGATAGATGAGGAAAAGGGAGACTCCACTTCACCCACTCTTCCCACTTAGAGACCTGTGAAAGGGGCTCAAGCCCTTGGCCTTACTCAGCACAGATTTCTTCCATCTTTCTCTCACTGTACAAACCAGAAAAACTAGGCAGGGATGAACCTGGCATTTTCATTGGTGCTAGGCATACAAAAAGGAGTCAGACTCTTCCATCCACTAAGGCCAGAGGGAGTTAAGAAGCACCAGCACCCTCCCAGGACATTGAGAGTCCTGATGGGATAGAGGTGAGGGGAGGACTACTTCTGGCTCCAGCAAAGGGCACGAGGCTCACTCTGAGCTTGCACCATGGTCCTGCACCACTAGCTTTGCTCAGCAGATCCTTTCTCGGCTTACCACTCAAACTTGCAAGTTCCTCAAGGTGGTACCTGCTGTCCCAGGCTGGCATTGCAGCCATCCTAGTCCAGCTCCTGCAGGCTCCTAGAGTCCCCTGGGAGAATAGGATGAGTAGACCTGGGTGCCTCAGTTGGCCTTGCTCAGTCTGTAGTCTTCTACCGGCTCCCGGCTCTCGACGGCTGACAACGCAATGAGCATCTGGGCGGCATAGTAGGTGGACATGATGACTGCCCGCGAGTAGGGCACAGGAAAGCAGAACTTGTTGAGGGCGATGGTCAGATCAGAGATGATAAACAGCAGTGCACCACCGCCAGCTGCCAGCTCAGTCCAGCGCCATGCTGCCCCAATCAGTCGCAGCCCTGCTATGGCTCGCCAGCCCATAAAGCTGATGAGGGCCACATAGGCTCCCACCAGGTAGGTGAAGGCACCCGAGAGACCAGGGTAGAGGACAGCATAGCACAGGCCTGACAGCACTGCCATCACCACACCTGTCCGAAGAGCCAGTGGCCGCATGCCAAAGGCTGAGGCGTAGAGGACATGGGTCACAGCAAACATCAGCAGACCTGGGAGAAGGGATGAGGGATGCTAAGGTCAGGCCTGTTAACAAGTGCTGGGGCTGACAGTGTTTGCCCAGCAGCTTCACTCTGGCAGTAACAGGGGTGGATGAAGGCCATACCTCCCACTCCCCTGAAGAACTCTACAATGGTTCCCAGATCACATGCAAGGTCATCCTCCAAGAGAGACCTCCACAGTCCCTGGTCTCACAAACCCTCAGACACTTTCTGGTTCAAACATTCCGACTTTCAAATCTCCAGACCCTCTATAGCTCTCCCCAAGCCCCAGGACTCTCCCCCACCCCCACCAAAGCAACTATTGTGGCCACTGACCGTGCACAAAGTAGCCCTGGTCCTGCCAGATGAGAAAGGCATCACCTAGAGCAGAGAAGATGAGGCCCACAAAGATGCGGGTGGCACTGGGATGGGCCAGCACGAATCCAAGGCCATGGGCCAGAAGGAAGAGCCAGAGGCAGAAGATGGGCAGGCACTTGATGAGGGCACTGACCCACGATGGGCTGGAGGAGGGCAGCCAAAGCACAAAGTACACGCAGGTGGCCTTGAAGAAGGGCATCAGCTTGGGTCCCTCACTCTTCACCTGCAGGACACAAGACAAGGGCGGCTCTCAGAGCTCAGGAGCTCAGAGGCCCCCTCTACACCAGCACCCCCAGCCTCCCCCTGCACAACACTCCAGGGAAACAGCATTGACCAGAGAGCCTGGCATCGCCTGTCCCAACCAGCTAGTAGGGCGTGAACAAATCCATCACTACCCCGAGGCTCCATTTTTCAGCAAGCAGAAGGGCCCCACTGCTCTTGTTGCCCATGTCCGCTCCTCAGGCTGGGGCTAAGCTGGAATGATCATACGCTGGTCTGTCTCCGGCTGTCTGGAACTGGAGTGGAGTCAATGGGATGCCAGAGACTGGCCAATTTGTGTTCCTCAGGAGGGAGGCCAGGGTGCAGGCTTCAGGGCTCTGGCACCACTAGCGGAGTTCCAGAAATATGGGAGGCAAGGTAGTGATAACCACCTCCACCTACAGGCTCACTCCTCTGCCAGGGTGTTTCTCAGCCTCCTCTCCAGCTGCCCCAGCCTAACGGCAGCACCAAGGCAAGCTGAGGTGTTCCAGATGCTGGGAAGAAAAAGCAGACCCATGAATAAAGAGCCAAAAAGCTATCCCTAAGCACCAGAGATGTCAAGGGGTAGGGGGAAGGGTGTGTAGGGGTCAGAGGAGGTCAGTCCCAAGCAGAGAGGCAGGAAAAGGAGAAGGCCCTGCGTCTAGCTTTGGACCTGGAGTCAGCAGACACGCTGCCAGGCCATGGGGAACTCAGAGGGGGAAGTTAAAGCAGCTGACTGGGTCTCTGGCGGATTAGGGGAGGAGGGCAGCTAAAGGGAGGTTTTACTTGAGGCCAGGCAAGCACAAGTCCAAGCTGGGGGAGGGGCCTGCTGCAGAGAGTCTGAATTTGTGATCCCTGAAGCTGTTCCCTTGGACTGTCAGTCCCTGAGAGTGACTGGAGCGCTGGGACCCCTGTCCACCCACACGCCCGCCCCTAAAACGACTGTGTCTCTGTTTGGGTGAGCTGTCCAGCACAGGACGGCAAGGACACACTCAGACTCCCAGATCACAATCTGACGGGAGGGGAGGCGGGGAGGGAAGGGGGGAGAGGGAGGGTGGACAATTGTCCTTGTTCTGCTGGAGAAATGATGACTTCCCCTTCCCATGGAAAACTCCCCAATCCCATAAAAGTTGGCAAGGTCAGAGACCCAGCTCTGCAGCACTCTGCATCTGACCGTCAGCACTTGGAAGCATTAACCATCGTTCCATCAGCCTCCTAGCCTCTCACTTTCTAGAAAAAAAAGAAAAAAAGGCAGGAAGTAGCCAACGGAGGTCTCAGCAGTCACAGAGGACTCGGCTCTAGAAAAAGGAATACAGAGACAAGACAAAGGCTCGAGATGCAAGAGGCTGAAAAGGATGGGGCTGTCTACAGAGTAGGATTCATCTCCCAACGCGCTTCTCTGAACGCGTTACCGGCGCTGCTTAGGCTAGGGGCGACCCCTCCGCAGCCCCAAACCTGTTGGCAGGCTGAGGAAGCGGAAGAAACAAAGTTGGGACGGGATTCTCAGGAGGACCCCGTCCGTCACCCCTCCTGGCCTCCCGCACTCTCCCGCATCTCCCCCGGGGCCCGCCAGCGCCAGGACCCCGCGACGCCCGCCAGACGCGCACAGATCAACAAAGTCACGCTTCCGAGTCACGTGCGCTCTGTTTTCCGCCTGCCCGCGGGCGGGGGGCGCGCGGGGGCGGGGCGCGGCCGGTCTGGCGACGGGGACCGCCGGCCTCCGCGGGGTCCCCTGCCCCGTCTCGGCCCCAGAGGCGTGGCCCGCCCCGGCGCTGTCACCGGGCCGGTGGGCTCTGGCCACGGGGAACAGCGGCTCTCTCGGCCGCTCACTCACCACAGTGACCGGGGACACCATGGCGGCGGCGGCTGGCGGGGACCCCGCTCCGAGCTGCCACGACCCGCACGCGCCCGCGGCCAGGTGAGAAGACGACGCCGGAGAGCCGGGGTAAGGGACAATACCTCCCGCGCGCCGGGCGCTCCGGGTTCTGTCTAGGAACCCCGCGGCGTCAGCCCCGCCGCGGCCAATGAGGGGCCCGGAGCCCGGAGGCGGGCCCAGGCGCCCGAGGGGAGGCGGGACCCGGCTGGCGACGCGGACCCGGCTGGCGACGCCGGCCCGGCGCGTCGGGCTCCCGCGCGCGAGGGGAGGGCGCTCCCGGGGGGCCAGGAGCCGGCCCGAGGTCCAGCTGCGCCCGGGGGCCTTGCCAAGGCGTCATGGAACGTGACCGTGACCCTAAGGGCTTGGCACACAGAAAAACCATTTTTGCCCTGGATGCACTGTTACACACATTTTCTCTTATCTGGGAACAAAAGGTTCGGTTCAGCCTGTACACACTCAGTTCACGCAGGCACAAGTGCATTATACACAGCTCTCAGTGAGTACACACAACTGAACAGGCACACAATCCTCAACGTGAAAAAAAGGTGTATAGAAGCAAGCATACACAAGCCTGCCGAGAATCATAACCGTCTTTAGGCACTACACAAGTGCTCAGCCGGAAAACCAACAACTGCAGGCTCCCATGAAAGTGGAGACATGTATAGACAAGCAGCAGCCCACAGACCCAGAACCCAACAGAGAAACAATCGCAGTCAACTGGCCAAGGCACACACCTTTCACAACTCATAAACCACTGCAACACACACACACACGTCAGTAGGAATAACAAGGAAGGACAGTTAGAACGGAACATCCTCATGGACCCCAAGAAACGGGAGCTGCCAGAGAAGCAGGCAGAGGATTTAATGTTGATATTGTATAGACTGAAGGTGCACTAACACTTTTATGCATGTTTACAAACACCTAGAATTACATAGGTGGACTGGCAGGCAGGCACCTAGACTGGGATCTGGTTTTAGCCTTGACACTTGCCAGGCGTGCTCAGTGATTCGTTGAGTCATTTACCCTCTCTGACCTTGACTTCTGTAAGTGGTAAACACTAAGATTCTACCCAAACCTGACATGTTGTGTGGGATGGTAAGAGGAAGGGGCAGCTGCTTCCAGGAAATGTAGGTCTCACAGGCTTCCTGGGGATGGTGTTACCCGCTACATCCCAAAGGGTGGGTGAGTGGTGTGTGATGACCAGCCCAGCTAGCAGCCCCAAGGACATCCTGGGACAGTGGCGCACTACCCACCCCTTCCTCCTGTGGGTCTTTCTCTTTTACTTCTGAGTTGGACTCAGCACCCCTAAAACGGATGCTGTTGACCTGACACCTGTTGATAGACAGGACAGCTTTCTTCTAGTGAGTGGATTAGCAATCAGAGATTCAGAATCCAGTGCAGCATGGGGGAGAGCCCAGATTAGGGCAGGGGACCACCTATCCCTTCCTCTATCCTTGCCAAGCCCCTCCAGCCCAAGCGGTCAATGACGTCAGTCTGCTTTGCTTTCTTTCCAGAATTGAGAGTCACGCTAAACTGTGTACAACCCCCTCCTTCTCCGTGGCTTAGGGGTTGTAGAGTTGGGCATATTGCCCCATCTTTAGAGCCTCAGTTCTCTCATAAGTGTAAGAACTGGTCTGGGAGGTAGGTGCAGACATTCCAGTTTCCCAGTCCCACCCTCTAAGGTCACCTGAATGGCCGTGCCATGACATTTTAAATTCCCCTGGACCAAGGTCCCCTGGACCTTGCCTACCTGCAGAAATAAAATGTAGACTGCATCAGTGGCTCCTGACAGGTGGGACCTGTCACCATTGAGTTGGGAAGCTTTCCGACAACTTAGACCTGTCAGTGCAATGACACGTGTTTTAATAAGCTTGCACATGCAGATACATAAATATATAAACATGGGTCTTGGGCTTTTCCTTCACAGAGTTCCAGTCAGTGTCTGAGTAACCAGTGGGCAAGCTAACCATACAAGGGTATCTCAAAAAGTTCACCAAGAAAGGCTAAATTAAAAGGTAATTTTTTGTCTGTAAAACAAATTTAAATCCATGCATAGTTTTGCATTGTACATATTCTCCATGGACTTTTTAAAGACTCCGTCATCCACACAGGGTACCCACAATGTAGAAGCATCTCCCCTCTATCCTGGCCTCTTTACCAGGACCAGTCTGCTATGCATAGTGGCAGACATAAGACAAAGGTCAGGCGGCAGGACTGGTGAGGGCTATTGTGGGTTGCTCCAACTAGGCTGCAGATCCCACTGGTTTGCATGAGACCCAAGTGTGGTGTGGGCAGGATCAGGCTGGACTGCAACACCCATTGGTTTGTGTAGAAGATAGGGCCAGAGGCAGAACTGACCCAGCAATTGCAACCACCAGCATATGCATAAGCTGATTTGGGCACTGAACTGTGCCAGACCCTGTATTGGCAAGCACACCCAAGAATCTTATCTAAGATCACCTCAGGTGAAGTTTCTTTGGGGATTCCCCTAGGTGAATCACTGGACTCAAAACCCCAACCATGGAGAGAATTGCAAGTTCCATGGTCTGACTGTCAAGTGTATATGTCAGAGCTGAGCCTCCTCAGTGGCTTAGGTGGAGCAGTGGACAGCATATCCAGATGCACATGGAGGATATAGCTGTACACTGGAGTCTGTGGAGGACAACTGGTACCATGACAGAGGACAGAACAAACTGATCAACTATCCCAGCCAAGTGTTGGAGTGACTATCTGGGTAAACAGAAACTCCAGGGTAGACTATGTCAGCCAGTGGATTCTGGAGAGATTTCGTCGTGCTTGGAGTGGCAAGATTGACAGTAATTCAGAACTGTAGAACTATTGAAACCTCTTGAGCAGGATCCTCAGAACATGCCCCACATCAGGAACCCTGAGGTGGTGTCAGGTGGCTGTCTTCCATCCCAGGGTGCAGAGACATTTAGGAGGCTGGGTGTGGCTTCTATGCTTGTCCTCCCCCATTTCCCCAGAAACAAGAAGGGAAAAAAGGGCTACCTTCCCATAGCCCTTGACCCTTATCACCCTAATCAACTATCATCAAAAATATAATTAATAAAAAATCAAACTTAAATTCTTGCATATTTTTTTCATTGTACATATTCTCCATGGACTTTTTGAAGGCCCCTCATCTAGACAGGATACCCACAATATAGGAGCATCTCCCCTCCATCCTGGTTCCTTTACTCTCACACCACTCAGATTCTTTATTTTTAATAATAATATGAAAAGATTTGCTTGTTTGTTTGAAAAGCAGAGTAATCGAGAAAGGCAGAAGGAAAGAGACCTTCCATCCACTGGTTTATTTCCTAAATGACCACAATGGCCAGAGCTGGGCTGGTCTGAAACCAGGAGCTAGGCTTCATCCATCTCTCCCAATGTTGGGTGCAAGAACCTAAGCACTTGGGCCATCCTCCCTGGTTTTCCAGGTGCATTAGCAGAAAGCTACGTTGGAAGTTGAGCTGCTGGGACTTGAATCATCTCCCATATGGAATGCTGGCACCATAGCATGGCACAGTGCCCATACCCCAGATCCCTTCTTGATCTCCTTCTCTCCCCTGCCTAAGAGCCCGCACCCTGTGGATTGGCTCAGCAGGGATCTGACGTCAGCTTGAGTTCAGCCAGCCAAAATGGGAAGAAAGGGAACAAAGCCAAATGGGAAGAAAGTCTGGTTAAAGCCAGGCTGAGATCCTGACCGTGGCTGGGCCCCTCTCTGGCTCCAACTCCAGGATCCCTCCCTGTATCTCCAGCAGCTGCCTGCTGGCACTGGTTTTTAGGTGCCTCTTCACCCATGCCTGGTTTCTCTAGCCCTGCCCAAGATTCAGTCCATTGAATCAGCATTGAATTCTCTTTGATTAAATTCCTGAGTGTGCCAGTGCTTGTGACGGATGCAGGCACCACCTCCTTTCAAAAAAAAAAAAAAAAAGAGCTAATTCTAATTTCACCCAGATGAGTACAAATTTTTGTTTGCTTAAAATTTAACATATTTATTTACTATTTTGTTTTTATTTTGAGCTGCACGTTGTCGGATCAGACTGTGTGGGAAAATGTCTTTCTTTCTGTACCCAAAATGGCTTGTTGTTATGGTCCCTTTCATACAGTTGTGTTTTCTTTGTCCTTGCTGTCTTGCTGTCTCTTCTGTAAAAATGTGAATGCATCCACTCATTCATTCACCTAACAAATGTTTATTGTGAAGCTCACTATGTATTAATCGCTGTGTTAGGTGTTGCAGTTTAAAATATTGGCTAGGCATTTAGCCTAACAATTAAGATTCTGGTTAAGAAGCCCATGTCAAATCAGAGTCCTTGAGTTTAATTCCTGCTTCCAATGTCTTACTCCAGCTTCCTGCTCATGCATACTCAGGGTGCCATCTGTGATGCCAAACTGCAGTGAGTCCTTCCTCTCCTGTAGGAGATGGGATTCAGTGTCAGCCCAGCCCAGTTCTGGATGCTGCAGACATTTGCGTGTGAACCCTAATGAAGGTTTAAATGCCTCTATTTAACAATGAAAGTTTTGAAAATAAAAAATTCTGGGCCCGGCACAGTGGCCTAGCAGCTAAAGTCTTCACTTTGAACGCACCAGGATCTCACATGGGCGCTGGTTCTAATCTTGGCAGCCCCACTTCCCATCCAGCTCCCTGCTTGTGGCCTGGGAAAGCAGTCAAGGACACTCCAAGGCCTTGGGACCCTGCACCTACGTGGGAGACCCGGAAGAAGTTCCTGGCTCCTGGCTTTGGATTGGCACAGCACCGGCTTTGGTCGTCACTTGGGGAGTGAATCATCAGACAGAAGATCTTCCTCTCTGTCTTTCCTCCTCTCTCTATATATATCTGTCTTTGCAATATGATTCTGATGTCTTCTGTCACATGCCCTCATACCAGCCTAATTTGCTTGCATGCCTGCCTGAGGGGAACTGTGAGCTCCATGAGGGCAGAGCTTACATATTCTTAGCATTTATTTATTTTTATTTCTTTTTCTTAAGATTTAAATAAATTAGGCAGTTATGAGGGCATGTGACAGAAGACATCAGAATCATTAACCGCACCTGGAGCAGGTGAGGAGGTTGGGGCTGAATCC